AATTTTTTTTCATAAATATCAATCTGGTTTCTAGTTTTATCAAAACAAACATTTTTAGAAACTATATACATACCATATGAGTGTACTATTTCTATGTTCATGTAAGAGTATTTAAAATTAAGATTATTAAAAAAGTAATATAAATCATCTAAAAGTAACACTGATTTATATTCTGAGTTCAATTTTATCCAAATATTAATCTCTTTAAGATTTTTAGGTAAAGATTGAGCCAGTTTTCTTAAATAAAGATTCAAACTTATTTTTATTAATGTTAAATTAATTTTAAAATCATTTCGATAAAGAATCAACCATTGTAAATTTGGAACCCAGAGAATTTCTAAACAATTTAAAGTATATGAAAACCCGATAATCAAAAAATCTATAAGGTTATGATATCTTTTAAATATTGTTTTAAAAATTATTATATTTGATAATTATCATAATATTATTTATATGTTCAATAGGCAATTGTCCTCAAGGAACAAAATTTATATACAAGCTTTGTATAATTCTCTTTGCAGTTATCATGGCTATAATGATTTTTTGCTCAAATTATATTATATATTTAGTCTTTTCTACAGAAGATCTACTAATAGATTTTAAGAGTCCATCGAGTATTAAAAAAGCCTTAAGAAATTCAGCATTCCGTGATATTGTAATTTCTGTTGCTTCAACTTATATATTATATCTTTTCTCATCATTTATGTATTGTAAGCCATAGCATATGTTTAGCTGCTTAGTCCAATATATATTGCTTATTCCCTTCTATGTAAATATTCTTACGATTTATGCTTTTTATAATACTCATGATGTTTCCTAAGTTACTAAAGGTGATAATATTAATGTAGAAAACTCGAATACCATATTAACTGATAACAATAATAAAACAGAGACTGGTGAAATCAAAATTAATGAAGAATATAATAATATTATTAAAAAACTTTGTGAAATAAACAAAATTGCAATGCTTCTACAAAAAAAGATGATTATTATAGATTATTTAGAACATATTTTGTTTTTTCGTAAATATTTTTGAATAGTTTAATAATCATTTTATTCACATAAATAATTTTACAAAATATTTCTCAGTTCATGGCAGTGTCTATAATCCTTATCTTGCATTTAGTAAGTTATATTTATTTTTTTTACTGCTATTATTATTATTATTAAATACAGTATTTTTGTCGATTATGATTTTATCTATGATCAGAGCAATTGGTAGTATATTGTACTTAATTATTAGATAATTATTTGATTTATTTAGAGAATCAATTTTTTAATTTTTCTCAAGAGTTAAATTTGTGAAATTTTATATAATTAAGTAATATACATAAAATGCATATAATAAAGCTTATATAATTGCTTACTTTTATTGTTCATAAATTTAACAGTATAGTTGTTTATATACAATAGTCCAGTGGTACTTTAAAGTGCTGAAAAAAACCGTACAGCAATAGGTATGGATACTTTATAAGTGTATTTCATCTAATCATATGTAGTTGTTCTTTCTACATAGCTAGGATATGAACTACAGCATTTTTTAGGTAACTAGATACAAATACATAACATAAAAAGTATTGCTATACATTTATTATATCGACATAGGATCTTTGCTAAAAAAAATAACTTTTTAGATTTATGAATAAAATTTAAATTTACTAGCGAGTCTAGTGAACTCTATGAAATAAAAAAAAGTTTATTTAAATTGAATTAAATAGTCTTGAAGAGTCATTTTGTTAGCAAAGATCACATATTATTAGTCATCTCCCTTTAAATCTTCCGACTCATTTTCTTTGGAATACCTAT